TTTTTAATTGGAGGATGTGGAAGGAGGATCGCAAAGGTAGACAGCAAAGGCTATAGTTAAGGTTGATTACCCTTTCATAAAGCTAGCTCAGTTTTTGGTGTTTTATGATTCCCAAGTTTAGCTGCAGTTTTCTGTTGGTATATAGATCTGGAGTATTTTCTGGATTTTTGCATTTTTAGTGTTTGAACACAGTCATTTAAGTGATTTTAAGTCTTCCTGCTGTGAAAGAAAAAAAAAAAACCCACAAAACTTTCTTCTCCTGTCTGTCTTGATAAGAATCTGTTCATATTTGTAATTTGAACAAATTTTGCTAAAACTCGGATTAACTTGGAGTCTGTTGATTCAATATCATAAAGTCCTGATCTCTTGAAACTCCAGATATGCAGTGAGAATGACTATTTGTCCATCGAAGGTTGAAGCAATACAAAATATGCGTATGCTACCAACGCTTCAGCTTTAAATTTATTGAATTCAGAGCAGGTGATCAGTATCAATGCAGGGAAACGACCTGCCTACCTAAAGTACCTGTCTTGGCCTCTGGTACTGCTCTGGCTGCTGCAGCAGGGAGCAGCAGGGAACTGGGCACGGGCTGCACCCCCGCCCCAAGCATAAGAATAATCGGGTGGGGGGCGATGCCCAGCAGCAGCGCAGAGATCGCTGCGGCGGTGCTGGTGCTGGCGTGGGAAGCCCTCCCGGGGAGCTGGCAGGGTGGCCTCACCGCAGGCTGCGGTAAGCAGCATCGCCCGCAGCACCACGGTGAATTTTCTCTTGTGCCCGGTACGTCTGGAAAACCACTGCCGTTTTCGTGAACCGCAGTGCTTCAGGGGCCACGTGGGGTTTTCCCTCTTCTGGGTATTGCAACAGGAAATGTTTTTTAGTTATTTTTCTTTTGAAATCGACAAGTAATTGTATTATCTGCAATATGGTATCACCTTTGCCTGATGTGATTATGCAAAAGAGAGTTAAAATGTGTTTTAGGGATGGAGAGTTGGTAACCGTGTATCAGACAATTACTGCTGAACTGAAGATCTTTTATAGTTACAGAAGTAATTTTCATAACATTTAGGCGTTGTTTAAATATCAAAGTTTTACAGATCATGCTAAGTGAATATTGAAAGTTTATCTTCTATCTACAGTAATCAAACTGATAGCAAAACAAAAAGGCTCTGTACGTTAGCCTAATTCAAACGGACAGTGTAAAAGGGAGATTGTATTTGAAGAACTGAGAGGCACTGTTGAACTCAAGCAGCTTAATCATAGCAACTGTTCAAACCTGCATTAACTCTGGTTTTTATATATGAAGATACAAAAAGATACATGATTCTGAAAGGCTGCATATAAATACATCGTTAGAATAACAGTTTCAATAGGAGTCCTTAAGGATGAGCACTAGTAAAAAATCCATGTAAGAATGTAGATCCAAATTCTCGGAGTTGGGCAACGTCTGGTGCCTGTTTTCCATTGACACTGCAGGAATTACGTAAATTAAAATATTTATGAATTTGGCTTAGTCCATGTTTCCTCTGATCCCAGTAAAAACTGTGAAAATAGTTCACTAAAAAATAATATGTAAGAATTGAAACGCATAGAACTTGCATGAATTGTTCATTTTGTAGCTGTTTTTCTTTTTAACTCCCTTCAAAATGGAGGAATATTTAAATATGTCAACAGTAAGATTATGATTTCTTAAACTCAGCTTAAGAAACAATGAAAACTGGCTGTTTCAGTCGGCAGTCGGCTTCTGTGCTACCAGAACCTCGATGTGCTGGCGTGTTTTGATTAGCCTAGAATGGGTAGTAATGACTGAAGTTCTCAGGTGATAGTCGTAATAAAGCAAACCAACCAACCAACCCACCCTGAAATAAATGGTGACTTATTGCAAGGATATCCTTTCTGTGAGCTTCCTTCTACTGTATGAGCATAAGCTTATGTGACTAAAGTCTTTAACTCGAGCCTTCAGTTTCAGCGTTGAACCCTGAAAGATGTACTTCGTATGAGGCAAATAATAAAATTTTGTTGCAAATATAATAATGTTTTGTACTTCTCCCTTAATACAGATGACGAGGATGGTATGGACTGCATGGACAATGAGAGGCGGCCGCATTTCCCCCAGTTTTCCTACTCTGCAAGTGGACGAGAATAACTTTTTTGTTCTGCTGCTTCACTGTCATCTTAGGTTTATCACTGAAAATGATTCCTGAACATCACCACCAGTACTAGATACTATTTAAGATAGCAGGGGCACTTTCGGAGACCATTCCAAATTGAACAAGTGTCTTTCCCAAACCTGCCTAAAATCCATTTTGATTTTGCATGAAATATGAGATTTTCTCTACTACGCTCTCCTGCTGTTGCTGCTACCCACAGTCTCGGTGTAATAGCAACGTCAAGAAGTTACTAACAGTTTCTTTGAAGGTAGATGACTTGACTTCAGCATTGTACACTTTGTGCACAAGTAGTCATCTATTTTTCCTCACAGTGGAGGTTAAACAAAAAACGTGTTGGTCCAGCTTATCTTCTTCCAGAAGATGAATCAAAATTGTAATTAGTCTAAAAAGACTAGCCTATAACATTTTCTTGCATCTGTTTGTGCTGGTTAGAACAAGGAAACATAGGGGTGGTGATGTACATATGCAAGGTTTTTGTTAGGCATATCATTACTTGAAGCAGGTCTCTGTCATTAACATCTGGCTGGAATTTGTTTGGGAAATGTTTGAGAGAAGGACTTAAACTGTTGATATATATAAATATATATATATTATTTTTTAATTACTGTTGGATACTACAGAAGAAGCAAAAGGGCTGGGCTCACCCAGCCTGCCACTTAGAACTTCCAGGTTCATGTGCAATCATGGAGAATCGAACATTATACATGCAAGAAATGAAGGCATAAAAGCAGCAGTTGAAGTTGTTTAAGGGGTCCTATAATTTGCACCAGATAACATCTTTCTCATGCTTTTCTTTTTCTTTCATGATATACATCACCTCTGATGGCTGAAGAATGTAGACAGGCATAATGGTATTGCTTTTCACCAAAATGTGTGCACCAAGGTAAACAGGTGTTTGCCTTACCCGTTTTTATTTTGAGTTTGTGAATTAGCTTTTTCTCCAGGTGTTTAATGCTAAATATTCCTTTTTTTTTTTTTGGTTATACTGCGGTAGTATTTATTTTTAGAAATAAGGATTGTATGTGTCATGTTTGCAGATGCTGCTACATCTTAGATAGAACAGGCTTATAGCAGTTAATTTTGTAATATATGGAAGGACTGTTCAAGCTGAAGGGAATAATGCACTTTTGTCCCATGTGGAAATTTTAACAAGGCTCTGAAATTGTACATACTGCTTAGAATCAGATTTTTGCAAATGAAATACTGTCTTTTAATTGTTTGGCAGTGGACGTGAGGAATTCCAGCTTCATGTGCCAAAGGGTTAAAAACAAACAGACAAAAAAACCTACATCTTGTGCTCCATTGAGGATAAACATAGTGTAAGAGCCTGACAGCACAACGGAAAATTTCTGTTCTATATGAAGGAATTGCATTTGAACAATGAGACCATAGTGATTACAAGAAAAGCACTTTATTTTAATAATTCAAATAGTAGATTTCTGGGATGAGCCGTTCTCAAGGAAGGTTTGCCTTCAACCGAAAGAGTCCCGAAACCCAGCATGTTACATGTAACTGTGGTACCCCATTGACTGAATTTAAAACATCAGGAGAAACGCTCCGCTGATAGGAAAACGTCTTTACATTTCCAAAGATCTGGATCTAACAGAACATGTGCATAAACTTTAGCTTTGATCTTCAGCAATGATAATCTTAATAATAAACCCTTTGGTGCTAGGAGTCGGGACGTTACGCAGTGCAGCGATAGCGTGCATCTGCCCTTGCTAACGACATCTGAAAGCCCCGGCTCCATGGGATTATCATTCGAAGTATCTCTGCGTTCAGATCTTGTTAGCTCCCACGAAGACTGTGACATCGCAGAGTATTGCTGGTTGTGTTGTGTGAATGAGTAGGTGAGTCTGAAAGGAGAGGTGTTCCTACGCGGGTGCCTGAGCCTCTTGACGTGGACAAGTTGAGTGCCCTGGCATGAAGGCCACTGCTGGCAGTGCATGTGCTGGGACGGTCAAGGGGTAGATGGGCATTCTAGCAAGGCAGCTAAAGATGCAGACTAATTTAGACAATTTTTCATGTTTCATGTTTTATCTTTAGTAATGGATGGATAATCAGTCAGAAATGTGTCATGATGTATACTCTAACTAGGTAGGATCTCATTCTGTCACCTTGTAACACTAAACACGTGTAGAGATGGTCCCTCTGCGGAGCACAGCAAATGCGTTGCAGGTCTGTTCTGCACCAGTAGTGAGAGGTGTCTGCGCTGACGCAGTGAGTGAGTGACTGAAATAACCGAGTACGTCATAGACGGGCATTAATTAGTTCTCTGCAAAGGCCTCGTACTTACAGACTAAAACTATGGTGATTCGAAAGCTCTGTTAGATGCCTGTGTTTTTTTTCCCCTATGTTTTCAGCTTGTAATAGCAATAAGTTTCTTGACACAGGGCACCTCTTGCTAACGACCGACTGGCGCCATGCCTCTGGCGAGCCGGTCCTCCTGTGCAGAAGAAACCCTGTGGTTAGCGCACCATCGCGTAGCTGGTTAGAATGCGGTTTGCGGTAAATATCTGTCAGTGAATTATTTGAAAACCTTTTAAGACGTCACTTTGCATTGTATTGTCTGCCTTCCAAAGCATCATTGATCAAGTTCAGCTACAGAGAGAGTCAGCTGCCACTTTGTGCTGCCCGGAGCTGGGGGATTCTCTCTCTTAGCGGTGTTAGAAACGGATGAAAGGCAAACGGGCAAGGGGTGCCGAGAGAAACTTCTGAAGCTCTTCTTTTGCTGTTGGCGTTGTGGTTGGATTCGGCCGGGAGGTGGTGGCTGGTTACCTGGGCGAGCCTTTCGAGCTCCGTACGTTTCAGACTCTGACTCCAGCTTGTTCTGACTTCCGTGGCACACAGTATGCCCTCTCGTACTGCAGCCATCTCGGAGGAAATAGGTCATTTCTGTTTGGGTTTTGGCAGTTTTGCACACAGCTTTGCTTTCTACACTAATCCATCTTCCAGTACATTCCTGTTGCTTAAAGAACATTTATTCCAGTATTGTTTTACGTTTTTTTCCATCTTTACTTGCAGCTTCTTAAAGCTGACTGTTCTTGCAGGGGCCATGTGCTTCTCCTAGAGTACAAAAGTAAGGTCTTTCCTTACTAACTGCAGGGTCTATATATTACACCTCAATGTACACACTTTGCTGCTACTGTTTGTACTGTCTACAGTAGAATTTCCTTATCTTGCTCCTGGTAGTGCATTACAGGCAAGCATGAAATGTAAAGTATTTATTTAAATAAAAACCTCTAAATTGGTAATTGAATTACCTCCCTGTAGCTTTAGAGTTTGTGACATTTCTTGACCTTGCTAGTTCTTTCATTAGATCCATGCAAGATCTAGTCATATGGTTAAGGATATTAAGCAGACACGACTATGAACCCAAGAAACCGTATTACTGTTGGTCATACTTAAACTGTTTATTTCCTTAAGTATATGACCCACAAGGATGTGAAATAACTACAAGAAACTGTTTTTTTGTACACTGTACATCCTTAGTATTTTTACACGTATATGATAGGGATGCACATTATTTTCCTTCGTACAGACAGCTTAAATAAAGCACTATGTCAATCTGCTACTTCTGTGTTTTTTAATGCTAATTTGTTCTGGAGGTTTGTAAATAGATATATATATGTGTGTGTGTGTGTGTTCAGGCTTGCCACAAAGGACGTATTTTTTTATAATCTGCACATTACTATTAAATATCGTAGAGGATAAAATTCCAAAGTTGTCCTGTGTCAGAGATAGAAAAACTGAAATGAGAAGGCTATATTGCAGATTACAAAAGATTTCTCAAGTTTTGGGTTAAATATTTACTTCATATTTTAAAGTAATTTTATATAGGTTAGATGTTTCAATCCTGAAATGCACAAAGAATTTACTTAATTTCTTCTTACAAGAAAATGTACATTGTTATTTTTTTATCACTGTGTATATATATAATGATCTGTGCATGTTTAGTTACAAGTTTTATTTGCTGTGAAGTCCCAGTGATAACTGTAACTGGCTGTGACGTATTTCAAATACTGGGTGATCAGTTTCAGCTTGTAAATTATGAAATTGCAGCATTGTCAAAAAAAAAAAGTTTTTATGACTAAGTGAGATGTATCTGTGCTTTGGACCGAGGCTGTTTCCATAGAGGTGGGTCATGTTAACTCCACGAGGTGTCTGTCACTTGTACAAGTAGATTTGGGTTACGCTTTGGAAGTAACCATTACACAGGACTACCTTCCCGTCAGAACACGCACCATTTAAGTGATCTGTCATCTAATGAAACTCATAGCCTCACATCCCAGAGCCAGGTGATGTCTTAGGGTAAGGAGAGGAAGAAATGGGAGGGTGGGGTTTGCAGGGGAACTCCGAGTGGGACTCTTTGAAGCTCGCAAGCTGGTCCAGGGCCGTTTGGACCAGCCGGTCAGGAGGGCTGAGTGTCCCTAACGCAGGCAGTCGCCTGGGTTTTAGCTCTGTTCTCACACCTGAACGCTTCCCTGCAAGAGAGGGGCTTCATGAGGGGCTTCATCCAGGTCTCAGGTTCCCCCTGCCCC